GAGAGAGAGAGAGAGAGAAGGGCATTACACATACTTTACTTGAATTTTTGTTGAGAGAAGGGCATTACACATACTTTACTTGAATTTTTGTTGGGGGTGGATTTAATTTTTTTTCTTTTAAGGGGTGGCACTAGGTGGGCGTTCAGACCCACCTGGGTGCCCGCCTTAAGCCTACCCGGGTGCCTATGCGCCAGCCTTAAGCATGTACGCCCAAACTTGACCGCCTAAGCTATGCCTAAGCAGTTTGTAGGCGAGGTCACTTGGGCGGCCGAGCGGCCGACTCTTTCATCATCACTTTCTCTGAAGTGAGCTTTCAGATAGGAGTGTAATATTCATGCTTTGCATTTCTTTGTTGAGATTTCTTGTAGAGCTGTTTAGACCATGAGGAGAAAAGTGTAGATCCTGCTACTTTTCTCCTTTTTTTTTGTTTTTTTGTTTTTTCTTTGTTATAGCAGCAGCTATCTTTTTGTTTACCTATTGAATCTTAATCTTTTGCTTCTAATATTATATTTATTGGCCTTCTATACATTTCTTCGGAAGTGGATGGAATCTGTATTGATTATATCTGTTTGATTTTCTCGTTTTGGCAGGATTCCATGGGACCTCTTATTTCCATTACAATGGCATATGTTTTGTTTGCAATGACACAACTGGCAGTTGATGTTAGGCTGACAGCATTTAAGTTTTTGGACCTCGTTGTTACACACTATCCAGTTATTGTTTTCTTGTATGCACAAGAGGTAGACGCGGTATAAACTTGGGGCTGCCAATTTATCTTGGTTGGATGTTTGAGGAATTTTTGATGAAAATAAATTTTCAATGTTTGACGCTTGAAGTATTTCAATCTAGTATGTCACAACTGGAAACCAAACGAAAAGAAAAGAAAGTAATTTGTGATGGCGTTTTTTGGATTCATATCAAATGCTTGTATTGGAGGACAATTGCTGTGTTACATATTTATCTGCCCATCTTCCAACTACTTTTGTTTTGCTGTTTTCAATGCAAATTCTCGGGCTAGGAGTCATGGGCTAGTGAACTATAACTCTGGATACTGAAACAAATGTAAATGTTGAGAGGTTGCATTTCCATTGAATTTGTTTTTTTTTTGGTCGAAGTGAAAAGACTGCATGGTTGATGGAGTTTAATGCAGAAAAATTCATGTAGTCTGTCATCATAAAGCACAGTTTTATTAGCTGATTTGGGGATTCATGGGACCCTTGTTCTGTTAAACTGTCTGCCATAGTGATTTACTGCTGTTTCTGTTTGGTGGTTGTATTAGGATATCTATAGAAAGGATCGCATGGGACCATACAGGTTAGGTCTTCCAATTCTAAAAGAAGCCCATCCCGGCTCCAGTTTGATCCAGGAAACTGATCCAAACCAAGATGATTGGTCAAAACGAAGTTATTTGAAGGTAAGGCCTGATCCATAAGAAATCTTCATTCTGTTGGAGATTAATTGATGGTCTGTCTTTTAATTTTTTCTTTAATTTCTTATCTGTAGATTTAGATGACGTATCTACGTGGGACAGTGCATGGCATGGCTCATGTGTCTCTATTCCTGATCTGTATTTGTGATGCATTGAACAGGTTCTCGACAATTATATGGATATTCTTCAGAACAATCAAAGTTGCTTTCAGGATAAGAGCAAACTCAAGGCTGTATCGACTAGTCTTGTACATTTCTTGTCATCATTGGTGTCTTATGCACAAAGAAACGATTCTTCAATTAAACATGTAATATGTTTCACATAATATGTGCTCCATTTTTGGTTTTTGCCATTAAGGATTTGATTGTATCACTTGTTTCCCATTTTAATTATGCTAATCATTTTTTTTGAGGCACCTAACTCTTTCTTTTACCCTTTCCTATGGAAGCACCACAAAACACCAATGCATCATCATGTTTTGGAGATTTGACATTGATGGTATACCAGGACCATGCGAAAAAAGCATCCATTTAACGCAACCGAGAACCTTGATGTTGGAACTGTTCAGCGACTCTACAGGGGCATGTTTGACGATGGGAATTTTTGGCTTTAGAAGCCAGAAACTCTCAGGTACTGTCGCAATTCCTAGTTTGATAACTAGGAATTGCTTTGCACTTGGAAGTGTGCACTTCTCAAAAATGAGAAGTGCGCACCTCCATGGATCCCCATGGAAGGGCGAGGTTTCCATTAAATGAGAACGGCATACTTCTCATGTGGAGCTCACCCAAGGGGATCTTTTGTTTTTTTTTTTATTTTAAAGCCCACTCATGATGAAATTTTGGGGGTGATCACCTAATTTGGGGGCATCAATAAAAAATATAAAAACTAATTTTCAAAAGAATGTTTATGGCTGTTGCAATTTAGCCAGAACAAAAAAAATCTACTGCTTTGGTAATTAGGTAAAGAGAATATGTATTTCCTTGACTCAGACCCCTGGAAGAAACTTTTAGAGTATACGAAATGGAAATGCAGACCTATTCTTGATTCCAGAATGACTTGCTAGTTGCCATGTCATATAAGATTGCACATCTCACATGGTTAATTGCTATCTCAAAGTCCATTTCATATATTATCTTCAACCCTGCCATTCAAATCTCAAAGCTAACAACTTGTGTGCCCTCAATGGCCATTCAAGTTTTAATTTCTGTGTATTAGTTTCCCCAACTCAGGGGGAGTGATTTGGGATAATACTTCTTAAGTTGCGTGTTAAAGTTTTCTATTTTGCATGGTAATCCCATGAAAAGTTGGTCTAGAATCTTTCACATCCACGGTCCTTTTGTAAATTGGTATTAATTATCCTCTCATACTCTCCTTAAATTCTTGAAGTGAAGCTTTCATAAAATGATTCATTCTGAGAGCCTGGTCTCTAGCCAAACTAGAGGCCTTTTCAACTAGCTGGCACTGCCCTTCTGACTAGGCTTGACACTTTGACCATCTGTTGATGTGTTAATGCCAGTCCCCAAGTATATAGGTCCTTAAAGAAATCCATCATTGCCATGTGTAGACGTAGCAATCCTCAACTGTCATATCTTCTGTCACAACCATATTAAAATAACAACCATATTAAATTATTAACAGTGTCTTGCATCTTCTACCATATTAAATTATTAACAGTGATCCCTTTCATGCATCCATCAGCTTTGCATTTCTGCCTCCAAGTTATTTCCTTAAGTATTTTGAGCCTTGACGTTGGATCTATGCTATGTTAATACTCCATTTTTTTTTTTTGAATGTTGACTTTGTATTAAGAGAAGTAAGTGCGTATATGCAAAAAATGACTACCCACAACTTGGGAGCTCTATACAAGACCCACCTAGCCAGTGGTGGGCAAAAAGCTATACAAGTACAGTGGTAAGAAAAACACCCCAGAAACAGAAGGCCAGTGGCAAAAGACTTAGACGACCGCCATAGCTGCACCTTCTTTAGCAAGAACGACTGCTGAGTGGTTGGCCGCATGCCAAGTATGCACCGAATAGACCTGTGAAAACCTGCTAGTGTCGGAGATTCATCAAAAACTGAAGCGAGACACCAGGGTGGGGTGGCCTTGCCTGAAGCCCAGGATATTACATTGGAGGAGTTTCCCTCCACCACTAGGGAGGATCCCCAAGAGAGATTGAAGCGTCTGAGGCCTTTTAAGAGAGCGAGAGTTTCCACCAAGGTGGAATCAGCTTGGCCAATAGGTAATTGGTGAAGGAAAGAAGGGTTGTGCCTTTGTGTGTTCTGAAAATTCCCCTGATGCCTGTTGGGCTTGGATTGCTGAGAGAGCATCCGTCAAAACTGAATTTGATCAAGTGAGGATTTGGGGGACACCAAGGGGAGATGGTGGGGGGGGGGGGTTTGGGGGTGTGGGGGGGTTGGGGCTTGAAGGTAAGGATGGATTGCCAGTTGGTGAGGAAGTCCGTGGTGGAAAGGCACTTGAATCTGCTGTGAATAGTGGCCCAGAAAATCACCGTGGTCTTAACGGTGTCCAACAGATGCCATGGGGAGGAGGAGTGGCCTCGGAAGATCCTGTGGTTCCATTCATTCCATAAGGACTAGAGTGTGGCTACTACCGAGTCTCTCCAAGGCAAAATTCCTGATTTGGGCCATGGAAGAAATTGGGATTGCTGGAAAAAGCTGAGGACATTCTCGGGGGTGAACCCACGTCCAGTTGAAAAGCCGAAGGACATTGTCCCATATGCGCAAAGCTGTAGTGGATGAAGAGGTGTGGGTTTGATTCTTTGTCCTCCTTGCAAAGGATGCAGTGGTTGCGAGTGATCATTCCCCTTCTTTGGACCTGATCAATGGTAAGAGCCCTCTTGAAAAAGGGTTTATCCAGTTGAAAACCTGGATTTTAGGGGGAGAGATGGTTGACGAAGCTTCGACAACAATTGGTTGAGGAAGAGGGCTAATCGAGCAAAGGAAAGCAAAGGTGTGGGGAGAAAGAAGCCACATAGAAGACTCCAGAAGTGGAGGGGGACCAAATAAGCTTGTCCTCACCAATTACCTATTGGCCAATAGGTAATTGGTGAAGGAAAGCGGATAGCTCAAGGAAGGATTGAAGCTCCCTATCTCGAAGAAGTCTTCAAAAATTGGGGCTTGAAGAAGGTACAGAGCCAAAGGAGTCGAAGAGTTCTGCAATGGTGGCTTGTGGGTCACTGGCAGGGTGAAAGGGAGTGGGGAAACGGTCCTTGAGAGGTGTGTGCCCAAGCCGTAGATCAAATCAAAAGTGAATTCCTTTACCGGCCCTAGGGTGGAACCTAATGCAATACTTGAACTGTGGGAGCGACCGTAGTATGGATCTCCACACGCCAAAGGAATTGCTGCTGACCCTTGCGTTTGGCACCCAAGAAGAATCGGGGAGGTGATATTTTTGGCGTATCACATCTTGCCAAATGTGACCTCTTTGGGTAGCCAAAAGCCACCACCATTTGTCGAGGAGGGCCAGATTCGTCAATCAAAGGCTATGAATGCCCAGCCCTCCTTGCATCTTGGGTAAGCACACGATCTGCCATGAAAGAAGATGGTAGTTTCTGGTGTCCCTAGAGCCCAGCCATAGGAAATTTCACATCAATTGCTCTAGACGTCGGGCTACTGAGGCAGGCATGTGGAAGAGAGACATTTGAAAGATAGGGACATTGGAGAGGATGGCTTTAACGAGGGTGATCCTTCCTGCTGTGGAAAGGAAGCGCCCTTTCCAACCGGCGAGTTTGTGTTTTAATTTGTTGATAATGTGTTCCAGAGGCCTTGTTTTGGTTTGTCAGGGGAAAGAGGGTAGTTTGAGGTATTTGGAGGGGAGGGAGTCAACCCCGTACCCCTATTTTTTTTGTTTTTTTGGATAAGTCAGTGGGGGAGAAGGCCCCCTACCCCTTTTTTCATTAATAAAAAAGCAGAGAAAAACAATTAAGATACAACTCTATGGTAGGGAAATTGCGCCAGATCATGTAATAAAAGATAGGAGAGAAAATCTGGTGGTCTATGGCGCCACACAGTAGCATCGGGGCCAGCAGTTGCCCTCTTAGTTAGGGCATCAGCAACCATGTTAGGCTCACGAAATACATGTGTGATGGACCATCGATGAGAAGACAGTCTGGTGCAACAATTGTCAACAATTGTTTTAAGTCTCCATGGAGCATTGCAACTATTCTGAATGACATTCACAAGCAAGGTTGAGTCGCTTTCAATCTGGATTGGAAAGCAATTACTTTGAGCACCATCAATATTGAGTTTGTAATTATGAGTCTCAGGAAAAGACCAAGCTACCGAAGTAAAGAGCTCAGCCCTCTGCTGCTGCCAAGTTATCCGAAGGTTACCAATGATGGCCTTTTCTGATAAATGAAAATACCACTTCTTAACCTCTGCTAGTGCTTGAACATGCAAGGTAATTCTTTTCACAATAAGCTCTCTCCTGGTGGGTCTTGACTCAAAAAATTTTCTGTTGCGCTCTTCCCATAAAAACCAAATAGGAGTAAAAATGATGAAAGACCAAATATTACGAAGTCCATGTGATTTAAACCTGAAAAGCAACCACAACCTAAGTAAATCAGGGACAGAGGTACCAAGGACAAACCTCTTTCCACATCTCCAAGCGAGTGATCTCTAAACACCCTGCGCAAAGGCACATTGGAATAATAGATGAAAAATGTTGTCATCATGGTTACTACAAAAGGGACATAAAGAATCCAGTTGCATGCCTCGTTGTTGTAGTAAGAATTTCGTGGGTAATCGATTATGTAAGGCCAACCATGAAACCATTTCGCCCTTGGGTGGCATTTGGAGGACCAAAGTGCACGGAAGATAGGCTGTGATGAACCTTGATGCCTAATAAAATCCCATGCCCTTTTAATAGAGAATGATCCATCAGCAGAATGAATCCAGACCAGTAAATCCTTCTTGGGCTGTAGAGGAAGAGTATAATTCTCAACCTCTCTCCACATATTCCTCAAAGAATCAGATGCGGGATGCGGCATAACCCAAGCTTGAGGAACTCCTCTGATAAAGTCTGACACCCTCCTCCCTACAGCATCCCCCATATACTCCTGAATGTTGTCATCGTGGAGGTCTGAAAATGGCTTACGTGTTAACCATGGGTCCATTCAGAAATCCACCATCTGACCATTACCAATATTCCACTGTACATTGCCTCTCAAATGAAATAAGCCGACTAAAATCCCCTTCCATGCATGAGAACATCCTCTTCTGCCTTCAAGCCTCCCAAATAGAGGAATTTCTAAAATAACGATGTTTGAAGAACTGTGCCAACAATGAGGATGGGTTTTCCAAAATCCTCCATGCTAACTTCATCATTCTTGCGATATTGAAATCCGCCATATCTCTTAACCCAAGACCTCCTTCAGCCATAGGGAGACACCGTTTTCCCATTTATAAGATGAACACCTTTTTTTTCTGCTTCCCCGGCCCATAAGAAGTTTCTCTGTAGTCTCTTTATTATATTACATGTTTTCTTCGAAAGAATGAAGGATAATAACCAGAAAACCGATGATGCCTCCAGTACAGACTTAAGCAACTGAAGTCGACCGGCATATGACAGGCATAAAGGCTGCCAAGACCTAATCTTATCGAACACTGTACCCACCAGATTATGACAATAACTGTGCCTCAGATGTCCACGAAATAATGGTAGGCCTAACTAAAGGACAGGAAGAGACCCTTCAACAAACTTTAAGTCCCTCAGAATTCTCCCTTGCCCCCCCCGTGGTGCACCAAAGAAACAAACATTGCTTTTAGATGAGTTCAGAATCTGACCCGTGCTCGTCTCAAACTTATGAATAAGTTTACGCATAGCTGTGGCAGTGGAGATGGATGCCTCACAGAAAATAAGCACATCATCAGCATAAAAGAGATGAGAGACCCCATAGTCACACCCTGTAGGAAATGCCCTGGGAACCATGCCTTGCAACATAGCACAATCAAGCTGTCTGCTAAACAAATCCATGACCAATAAAAAAAGATAAGGAGATAGAGGGTCCCCTTGCCTCAAGCCCCTCTTACCTTTAAAAAAACCTTTGGGTGAGCCATTCCTCGGGACAGAGAAAGAAGTGGTGGAAATACACAAGTGAACCCAAGAAACAAATAAGTCAGGAAAACCCAAAGCATCCATCATCCCGACTATAAAATCCCAGGATAATCTGTCATATGCACTGCTCAAATCGATTTGCAGACACATTTTAGGCCGATCTGAGTTCCTATAGCAAAGATACATAAGTTCGTTTGCCATGAGAAAATTATCAGTGACAAGCCTACCTTTCAAAAATGTAGGCTGCCTAGGGTCAATAAAATTAGCAAGAACAGTCGACCCCGTACCCCCACCTGTTGGCAAAGTGCATGATGGAACATTATGATCCTTTTTCTATCAAATATCGGGGGCAATGCCAATCATTTTTTATTTAGCCATGTTAGAACATTATGATCCTTTTTCTTTCAAATATCTCTGTCTTATCTAACAGAGACTCTTTTATAAACCTGAAATTCTGAATACTTCTGTTCATTAATTTGATATTCTCCTTTATGTTGACCTGAAATCCTGAATACTTCTGTTCATTAATTTGATATTCTCCTTTATGTTGTATCTCCTTTTGAACTTTTACAGTACTCTCGGTTGTCCTTCCACCTTTTATCATTGGCCTTAGGTTGGGAAATTTACGTACGGACTATGTTTTTTGACTGTTATAATGAAATGACCCGAAAATAGGCCATTATTACCCAGAAGGATGGATCCTCAAATTTTTTATATTTTTTCCCAAGTTTGCCCCCGGTTCGGTGTTAGAACCATCAAACCGCACTCTGTTGATTTTTTTTAAAGCAAACTAAGTGGTCTGATGTTAGAACCATCGGACCGTACTCTGTTGTTTTTTTTTTGATTTAAACAAGCGGTCCAATGTTAGAACCATCGGACCACATTCTGTTGATTTTTTTTAAGTGAACGAAGCAGTTCGGTGTTAGAACCATTGGACCGCATTCTGTTTAATTTTTAAGAGAAACATGCGGTCTGAAGTTAGAACCATCGGACTGCTTTCTATTAATATTTTTTTATGTGAAACATGCGGTTTGATGTTATAATTATCGGATTGATTTCTATTTATTTATTTTTATGTGAATCATGCAATCTGATGTTACCACCATCGGATTGGATTCTGTTGATTTTGTTTTTGAAAATCAATCGGTTCGATGTTTTTAACATGGGACCGAAATTTCATTCTAAAACAAAGTTGAATGTTACAAAGGAAGAGAGGGTCTCTCGTGCAAGATGACTTAAAACTTGTGTACACTTTGAGAGAGAGAGGATGAGTGCATGCAAAGAGGCCTGAATAATTCCCAGTTTCATCACACTGAACATTTTCTAAATATTCAATCTATTTCTCAGAGCATCAAGAGGAGATAAGCTCTTAAAATTCTTGTACAAACATAATAACCATCTCAGATATGGAAAAAAGGCCTATAATTAGTGGGAGCCATCCATGGATCGATGGAGAAGGAAAGGAAGAGATTGACACCAAAGCAGTAAACCCATAGTTTAATAGAAGAAAATGCATGAGGAAGGATTGGGGCAAGAAATTTACACACACACACGAGAGAGAGAAAGAGAGAGAGAAAGCGAGAGAGAGAGAGCGAGAGAGCGAGAGAGAGAGAGAGAGAGAGAGAGAGAGAGAGGAGAGAGTAGATAGAGAGGAGAGAGAGACGA